CCAGGTCCCACCTGGAGATTGGCAACCCTAGGGGAAAGTCAGCTGCACAGCAGGGGGTTGAAGAGAATGGTTTGATGGGTGCTGGGCCAAGATTGGCAACAATAGTTCCCCAGGAGCAAATAGCTGGGTTGGAGGGTGGAGTCTATGGCACTGTAACCTGTCTGAGGTCCCCCTCTCCGGCCTCCACTCCTCAAATCTCCAGGAATTTCCATACCTAAAGCTGGCAACTTTATTTCCTCCCCTCTCAGTAGCCTCTTATTTTGCCTTAAATTGGTTTTGATGTCAGCAGAGTGAGAAAATGCCAGAGGCTCTGGGTGGGTGCCTGTCTTGTCTTCAAGTTTACTTCCCCCCCCCCAGCCTCTGCCTAGGGAAAGCCGCTGTCATCATTCTCCTCTCCCCCTATGAGGTATGTTAAGGTTGAAAGTGTGTGAATGGTCCATAATCCCCCAGGCAGCTTTTAAAACATGATCCTGGGACCTACACACCACCAGACATTCCAAATGCCTTGCAGGTGGGGGGGAGTATGAGGTGTGGAATGGAGTGAAGTCCAATCAGCTTCCATATGCAAAAGACCTTGAAGGTTCCATATGCAACTGACATTCCAACTGCCTTGCGGGGAGGGGGGTGAGTTTGAGGTGTGGAATGCAGTGAAGTCCAATCAGCTTCCATATGCAAAAGACCTTGAAACGCTGGGCGGGACTGCACAAAGCAGCCAGTCAACCCAGCCAGCGTCTTCTGACTGACAGTTCAAGCGTCCATACACTAAAGGAGTGCATTTTAGAACTTTGGCACCCACTATTCAATTATATATAAGGAGAGATGCTAATAGAAGGAGTATATGTTTCTTGTAACGTGTGAGCCAACTTGCTCAGATCATTCACAGCAAACTGAACCTGTCTCCTATGAACAAGGTCAGCCCATTTCACTGCATTCAAAAACACTACAGGGTAAATACAGCAATATGTCTTCTGGCACTAACTTTCTGTTGGGTTAAATGTAAAAAAAATAATTTGACTTGGAAGCACAGCAGCTTTACACAGTATCCCGGATCCTCCGCATCTCCCAGTTAAGGGAAAAATGCTGTTCAAACAAATTACAAAGATGATCTGACTCCAATGGTAACAAGAGAAAGAAATCTTACTTACAAAAATTGAAGCACATCTTACATGGCATATTAATGTAGGGTACATTTAACTTATTGTGAACAGGTAAGTGAGATAAAGTCCTATATAAGATGAAAAAGAGAAGGCAAGCGAGGGCCAAAGAGGCTCAACATCTAACCCAACAGAGGGTGAGGCCAACTGCCAAGTGTACCTGACTGAGAGAATTCTCTTAACCCTTTCCCTCCCTGATCCTCTTGCATGCAGAGTTTCAATATTCAACACTTCCATGGTCTAGAACCCACCTCATCAGATGGACATACTTACCGATTCAGAAAAATTATAAACTATAAGGCAAAAAGCCATAAAATGCACAGGACATGTGTGCATTTAGGTCTATGACATTTCTAAGCAGAGGCCAAATGTATGCAAGTTAAAAGCAAATTATATTAATTTCTTATAATAAGAACATAAGAACATAAGAGAAGCCAATGTTGGATCAGGCCAATGGCCCATCTAGTCCAACACTCTGTATCACACAGTGGCCAAAAAATATCAGGAGGTCCAGCAGTGGGGCCAGGACACTAGAACACATGTTGTCCCATCCAGCATCTTCCAATTGAAACCAAATAATAGTTTTCAGTAGCAAAGCTGCTGTCAGAGAAAGGTCAACAACACATTATGTTTTATGGTTGTTGATCCAGCCTTGGTGAGACAGCAGAAACATGAACTAAACAGTCCGGAGTTTAAATGCCTCATTGTTTTGGTCTTTTTGAAACTGAGCCCAGTTTCAATTAAGACACAAAGGTCTTTTTGATTCTAAAATGTTCAACTTCCAGATGGGCATTTGTCATTTGGGGAGTTTGTCTGAATAAAAGGGCACTGACATCAGCATCAATGAATTCTTTTTACTTAAGAATGGGCCATTTAGGATTGGTAATATATGAATTATGGGTTTCCTACCCTGTTTGGATTTATGCAAACCACAAGTTTAAACTAGTTTCATGACAGCAATTTCCTTTTCCCAAGGAACCCTGGGAATTGCAGTTCTGCAAGGGTGACGGAGGATCTCTGAAAGATTCTCAGTACCCTTGTTTGGCATGATTTTCAAAGGGGTCTAAGAAATACCCACCTGTCCAGGTAAAAAAATTACCCCCAACCTGATCAGAAATGTAAAATACTGCCAGTGCCGCCGCCCCTTATTTATATATCTCAGAAAGAAAACTGAGATGGTACATATCTTTGTATGATCCTGGCTGTGGATTTTTGTGGTGCTTCCCAGAAACCTCTTAATTGTTGGGCGATCTTCGCAATCCTCAGGGAAGTCTAGCTCTGATGGGATGAAATGATATACGTTTCCACCTTCACTCAGAGGACTGGCTGTTTCCAGCAGAACGACAGCAGGAAGAATAGTTTTAAAACTTTCCCCATGTCCTGCTTTCCTTTTAAATCACACTGTATTCACAAGTAGGGTTGCCAACTCTGGGTTGGAGATTTTGGGGGTGGAGCCTGGGGAGGATAGGGTTTGAGGGAGGGGAGAGAGGATATAAAAACTGGGATATAAATATTTGAATAAATAAGTAGTCTGGGCAGATTGATAAGATTTAAGCAACTTTCTGTTTGTTAGGTTAGGCAAGGTTCTGACAGTGATTGTTCCTCCTATGTTATACTTGACCTGTGATGCTGGTTGTCATATTTCACTAAAAAAAAAACCCCAAAGTAGACTGCAAGAGTTTATTCGCCCCCCCCCCCAGTGCTGGTATGTTTTCTAAGGCTCAGCGCAGGGTGACGGTCCAGGGACAGGTCTTCTATTGCAGTGGACTGGGGCAGTTAGACCTGTTCTGCAGAGGCCAGGTTTACCAATATAATGGAAAGGGGTGGGGTAGAGCTGTTCTCTGGAGGACAGGTCTACCAATATAGTGGAAAGGGGTGGGTAGACCTGTTACCTGGAGAACAGGTCTACCAATATAATGGAATGGGGCAAGTAGATCTGTTTGTCAAAGGTCAGGTTTACCAATATAGTGGAAAGGGGTGGGTAAAATTTGTCTTGATTCTGTTTTATCTTATAGTATTTAAATTATTCTTAAACTATAGTTTAGATATTATTTAAAACAAATTTATTTTGAGATTTTCACAAGATTATGGACATAATCTTCTAAAAAAACTAATTTATGCGATAGTCAAATGTAGATTCCCTCACAACTTTAATGCTACTAGCTTTTTCTACTCACAAGGTAGAATTTCTGCTCACAACACTGTGGAGCTTAGAGGGAACATTGCTTGTAATTCCAGATTTCCAGGTCTCACCTGGAGGTTGGCATCCCTATACTTTTAGCAAGTCACACAAGCATAGTAGGTCACACAGAGGCAAACTGGTGATCTTCTCACCAGGGTTGGATTGGGCATTAAGGCTACCAGAAAAAGGCCTAGTGGGCAGATGGCCAGAGGGGAGAGGGTGCACACTATATGTGTGGGAGCCACCACCATAAGTCACTGTGTTTTGTTTTGCACAAGGTGTACAGGTAGGAGCTGCTGTTGACAGCCCACATGTCACATGAAGTGGGTGGGAGTCATGGCCAGAAGCCTGATCATTCCATCTTCAAGGGGGCGGGTCCTTTTCCAAGGGCATTTTAGCCTCCCAGTCCATCCGGCTCCCCACAGCCAAACAACCAGTTTTATCTCAACAGAATGCGTTCCCTAGCGATAATACATCATATAATGCCCTAATGTGCTTTCTATACCTTGACAGGAACAAGACGAAAGACAAAAGGAAATCCAGTTCCTAACCCCAGCAGGCAAACTATCCCCTCAAACCGGTTACAGCAAAGAATGTGAGTACTTATTTGTACAAGTGCTTCTAGATACCTTGCCTGGAGGATCTTACCTAGGCTACAAGTCCAATAACATTATACGGAATATATATGTGGTTTCTAAAACAAAACAGAAAATACTCTTTCCTGGCTCATGAGACTGTATTGATGTTGTATTTGTACCAACCCCAGAGAAATTATGCTTGGGAATAAAGAAACATAAATATGTCAATCGAAACAGAGATGTCATGAAACAAGACAGAGCTACACTGACTGGCTTACTCCTGTGCCTTTAATGGGGGTTTGATGTGCAAAAATCGTCAGTTGAAAATTTCAGTGATGGCATGGAACTCAGTGCTAGCATCTGCCAATTGCTGCAGATCAAACATCTTTTAAAAGCATCGCTGTAGAAGGCCAGTCTGAAATTTGGTGGACTCACTTAATGCTAATCAATTAGCTCCGGTGGTCCGTTTTGTGTCATCCATGCCATTTTAACTCTGAGTCAGAGGAAAAGTACTACTTAAACCTCCAGTGGGTTAATGTATATCGCTCTGTTTTCCCCACACTCCAAACTACAATTCTCAGGATTCATCAGTAGAATCTATTGCATAAATCTTAGATTTGTAGCATAGATATATCCTTACAGCAAAATAAAACAAACCCATCATCCATTCCCAACAAGTAATGTTTATTTATTAGATTTTTATCCCATCACTTTCTCCAGTAAACCAAAGACAATGTACATGGTCTCTCCTCCATTTTATCTTCATAATGACCCTGTGGGGTAGGTTTGGTTGAGAGAGTGACTGTCCCAAGCAGGCTTGCGTGTATGTGACATCTTTTCATCTACATGGACTTCAAGGCAAGATACTTATAATGGAATCCTAAACAACACCCTTCTACATCCAGCGTGGTGTAGTACTGAAAGTGTCAGACTAGGACCTGGGAAATCCAAGTTCAAATCCCCACTTGGGCTGACCTTGGGCCACTCAAACACCTTCAACATAACCTACCTCACAGGGTTGCTGTGAGGATAAAACAGAGGAGAGGAGAATGATGTAAGCCGCTTTGGGTCCCCAATGGGGTGAAAATTAAGTAAATAAATCCATTGCAGTCAATGGGCTTAGAAGGGTGTCTAGGATTGCACTGCTGAAAATCTAAGAGTTCTTCATTCCAGGTACTGGCCAGGCCATACTTAATTTCAGAATGATTGCTCCCATCACATGCATCCCCAGTCTAGGACCAAATATGTCAACTAGACATGGTTCCCAGGCTTCCAACATAGCCTTCTGTGTGAACCAGTGCTTAATAAAGAGTTTCACACATGTGGTATTTTATTTGTACAAAAAAAGATAATTCTGATGCAAGTTATTTTCTGATGATTTCTTTAATAAAATACTGCATCAAATTCAGTGTAATAGTATTTGGTTAGGGGTGCATACTTAAGAGTTTTCTTATGTACATTTGCCAAGAGAGATGCGTCGCACAGAGCCTGCCAGCTTTTAGTTTTAAAACATTAACTTTTTACAGACAAAATACAGCAATCATGGAAAGGGAGTAAATAAATTAAAAAACTAAATATTTAATTAGGGTGAACTGGAACAGCTTACTCTTGTGGTGTGAGTCACAACAAACCTTGCTTCAAAATGACTATCGGTCCTTCTGGTTTGATATGTTGTTCTATAAGCAGAGGCGATACTTCATGTGAGATTGGTTTTGTTTATAAATGCATTTGAGTGTGAGGTATATTGGAGTTAAACTATATTTTGTGTGTGTTAATTTTTCATTGTTTTTATACACCCTGATGATTTGAGGGCTAAATATATCAATAGCATTCATACTTCTTGATTCATGACCATAATGAAACTACTGAATCCGTTACTGCAGATTACATGCTATATTTTATATGCTGTATCATTTCCCCTTCTTCTTGGCCTTTTTAATGACATCCATAAAAAAGAGACAAAACTGGATTAAAATATTTCAGTACATACTGGGATGACCATATCTAGGCTATTCATTGTCCTCACAATCTGGACTGATTTTTGCTCTGCAAAATTCAGCTCAAAGATTCAGTTCGATATCTGTATGAAATGGAGGAAAGGCAGAAAACTGCAGATCATATGCAAATATGAATCCGGGATCTTATAAACCCGCTGTTTGCAGCCAGGGATGTCGTGTATCAATGATCTCTGTTTTGCTTCAGGAGACAACCAGGTTCAACTATCTGTGAAACATCTCAGATGCAAGGAGTTGTTTGACAAAGAACAATTAATGCTCATGACTGCACTGAAATTGCATTTTGTAAAAGTCATAATCTTTGCAAAGCTACTCCAAGTTTTATAGTAAAAAACAGCTAAGAATGAGGGGGTTGTTTTTGCTTCAGTGTGACATTCCCAAATCCGCAGAATAAGAACAAGGACATAACTCCATTAGCTGGAAGAATTAACTAGTATTTTTAAAGTTTCTGTCTTTCAAAAGGAATATCTTCAAGGATATCATTATTGTATACTTTAAAAAAATGAACACAGGAGCCAGAAGATGGGCAAGTATTTGAATATTTTTACATCTCTCACCAAGTAGCCATCCACCATAGATGGTGCAAAACATGACAACAAATTCTAGACCACATTAATGCCATTTCACATGTTATTATTTTTTTTTCTTATGTGGAACAAGATCATGTGTGAAGTAGTCCTGTCAATCTGACAGTAATAACTCAGTTGTTTTGCTTCCAACAACATTTCTGGCCACAAATCAATTGCTTAGACCAGAATGCTTTTCACTGAGACTGTAGAAAAGCGACCAGACATGGCCTCATTTTTGACAGGTTCATCCATAATTGCTTGGAAAATTAAAACAGGAAAGGTGGCAAATATTCATCACATGTACATATATTCACTGATTAGAATGACACTGAATAAAATGTAGAACATATAAGTGGAGGCTGAGCTGAATGTCACTATTTAACTAGTGGAAGTGGCAGGACAGCAGTAATACTGTGTAGATGTCACGTTCACCCCACAGGGGTTACCAACAGCTCAAGCAAAACGTGACTTCTGAAAGCGTCTAAGTGCCGCTGAATGTTTGGGACTGGTAGAGCAGCCTCCATCTTGTTTTCGCCGATGTTTCTTGTTTACTTCTCTAAGTCCCATCAGGAGAACCTTCTATTCTCTGCAAGCAATGAGATTAAAACATTGTAAGAATCAATTTGACAGATTTATGCCTGCAAAACATTCATAGTGCCACAATACAATCTAAATAACATCCCTGAAGAGTTGAAAGACCAATTAAAGAACAGATTTGCAAGAGAAAATGAACTTCAAGATGGATTGAAACCAGATATTATCAAGGAAGAATGTGCAAAAACTATTCCTGTAGCCAAAAGAAATGAAAAGCCTTGATGGATGTCTGATGAAATTTTTAAAATCGCTATACAGATGAGAAGCAAAAGTAAAGAGTGACAGAAATAGAACCAGAAGTCTAAATGTAGCGTTCCAGCAACTTACATGTAGAGAAAAAGGGAACTATTATAATAACCAGTGTAAGCTACCAAAACTTCGCATTAAATTTCTCATGCAAGTAAAGTGATGCTCACAATTTTACAAAATACTGTTAACATATATGGAATGAGAAAAACCAGATGTTCAAGCTGGATTCAGAAAAGGAAGAGGCACTAGAGATCATATTGCAAATTTACATTGGGTACTGGAGCATATGAGAGAATTTCAAAAGAAAACTGAAGATGGATGGAGGGAAATATGGAATTCATATGAGTATAAATCTTCTATAGTTTCAATACGATTACAAAATTTTAAACTTTTGACATTTTGGTATTTAACTCCGGTACAAATAGCACATATCACAAAGGTTAATCCTGTATGTTGGAGAAATTGTAACTCCAAAGGGACATATTTACACTGTTGGATGTTTTGTGTTAAGATACAGAGGTTTTGGGAAAAGGTTCTAGAAAATATTAAAATTATCACACAAGTTACGCTACCTTTTGATGATTTAGATGAAGGTGGAGTGAAATTTGGGGGAAGGAACAATAAGTTGACACCACATTACTGGCAGAAAATAGTGAAGACTTGTAACAACAAGCAAACAGTGTCTAATTCCTATCACTTTCTCCATGAATGCTGTTTTTTAAAAAAAATAGAAAGCTTTAAAACAGAGATGAGCATCCATTTAGAAAAAGAGAGAACTTGACCCATAAGTTTGCACTTTACTAGTATAATTTGTAGCATTATCTTCAACAAAGCTACCGCCATCATAAATTATAAACTGGGATAGTTTACCACTGTCAATCTAAAAATGATTTTTAAAAAGCTCCAGATCAATGTGACACAACCCCTTCACCTAATCCTACAGAATGTAAAGGTCACAAAAAAGGATGAAGCTGTTGGAGAGCAAGTACCAATTTGGAAGTGCAGCGTGAGCTACTGATACCTCACCGGCTGCTGCAGAGTAGCTCATGCATCCATTGAAGACCCAGGAAAAAATAGCCTTTTAAAAAATAGCTTTTATTTCATAGAACGTTACTCTGTACAGCTTAGCTGATAGCTTCATTTCTGGGGCTCTTTCTATTCCTTGTTCTGTTTCTAGTACAGAACAAAATTTGGTAATATGGTGGGGGAGGGGAGCAGCTTTGGATACTTTTCATTAGTAGCCCTGTTCACAAATTACAGTGGATGCATGTACAATCTGTGTCCTGTGTATGCTTGATTTTTCTTTACACGTCCATTGAGTAATTGTGATACTGTCAATGCATGTACAGGTGAACATGTGATTGAAATCCTACATTTATCAAGGTACTGGTCCCCAATTTCATGTGTAAAGTGAATGCAAGTTGGCTCTTTCTTACAGTCAGACATACGCAAACACACACACAGGATGTATGTGTGTTCATGGTATCATGTGAACAGAGCTGTCCTTGTTATGGAAAAGGCTGGCTAACCCTGTACTAAAGCATACTCTTCAATGTCTCTCTGTGCCAGCAGACTAGGTTGTAATAATTTGTTATCTGACCTTTCTGTTGGTAAATTAATCACACATAACAGCAAAAGGGCTCTTAATGACTACTTTGTCTAAATAACCACCTGTGGTTCCTCCCATTTCACCCTGGAAAAACAGGATGCTGTCTCTAGGCAATGAAGGAAAAGAAGAAGAAAAGAGATTGGATCTATACCCCACCCTTCACTACCCGAAGGAGTCTCAGAGTGGTTTACAATCTCCCTTCCCTTCTGCTCCCTACAACAGACACCCGGAGAGGTAGGTGGGGCTGAGAGAACTCTTTCAAGAACTGCCCGTGAGAGAACAGCTCTGAAAGATCTTGTAACTGACCCAAGGTCACACCAGCAGCTGCATGTGGAGGAGTGGGGAATCAAACCCGGTTCTCTCAGATTAGAGTCTGTACTCCTAACCAATACACCGATCTGGCTCTCAGCTACCTTCCTGGTCAGGTATATACTTTGGCTCACAAGAAGGGGGGATGATAACTATTCTTCCAAGGGGTGAAAATGGAGGTGCAAAGTGTCACCAAGTTGCAGCTGACATGGCAACCCTGTGGGGTTTTCAAGACGAGAAAAACAGGTGGTTTAATATTGCCTGTGTCTGCACAGCAACCCTGGACTTCCTCTGTGGTCTCCCATCCAAGTACTAACAAGGGCTGATCCTGCTTAACTTCCAACATCTGATAGTTGGATACAATTATCACAGCACATAAAGATTTGAAAAAAATATGTAAGAGATCGAACTAATTTCTTACATGGAAGTGTTATGTTCTGAGTTATTTCTAAGCTGTTTAGTTATGGTTTGTGCTAAGGTATCCTAGTTTCCTCTGTTGTGATTGGCTGCGTAATAAAGACCTTCTAGTGGTCCTAAAGCCATACAGAGTATCCTATCAGAGAGCTCCGCTTAGGTCCAATCAGACCTCATGAAAGTAGTTACATTGTATATAGTTCAGTTTGGAACAGTATAAGTTTGGATGTCGCTCTTCGCAGAGTCAGATTAGAGCTGAGTAATGTTCTGAATAAAAGCCTTGCATTGATAATCGTCTCCCGCCTTTCAATACATAAACTGGTGACGAGGATGGGATACCAGGCCTAACCAAATGGGGAAATCACTCTCACCTGCCCAAGCTGAAATCACTGAGGGCACCTAGAGCTAAATCACTATGGGCATGGCATCCAAGGGCCATATCGAACTGTTCGACCCCAAGGCTGGGAACTGGGAATCCTACCTGGACCGTTTTGAATGCTTCCTTATAGCAAACGGTATTGAAGGAGACGATGTCTGCCGTGCCACTTTCTTGAGTACCTGCGGCCAGGCTGTATTCGACATTGCTTGGGACTTAGTAACTCCGTCCAAATTACTGGAGACACCTCTCGGCATCATCAAGGCATGACTCAACAACTATTTTATGCCTAAGATATCTGCTGCCGTACACCAATATGCCTTCCACCAACGGAGCCAGAAAGAGGGCGAGTCTGTCACTGAATACATCGTCACGCTGCGAAGGGCTGCTCGTGACTGCCAGTTCCCAAATTTAGATTCAGTCCTGATGGATCATTTGCTCTGCGGTCTTAGAGACGACAGCATCAGGCGAGCGCTTCTGTTGAAAAAAGAACTCACGAATCGGCACTCAAAGAAGCGCTGAGGATGGAGGCCGCCAACATTTCTCTTCACAAACCGCGATCGGGTGCTCAGAGTCACACGTCATGCAGCACTGATGCTGTTCATCACGCCGATACCACAGACTCATCTGATTCCAGAGACGACCAATCAGAATCATCTGATGATGGAGTCCACAGAATAGGAGCCAACCAGAAGCCGTGCTGTTCTCAGAAAAGCCCGCAAAAAGGAACGTGTGTCGGTTGTGGTGGCGCGCACGCTCGTAGAGACTGGCAGTTCCGCACTGGTGGTTGTGGGAGGTTGTGGTGGCGCGCACGCTCGTAGAGACTGTCAGTTCCGCAATGCTAGTTGTTGTTCTTGTGGAAAGATGGGCCACATCGCTAAAGTCTGTCGCTCATTGCACGGTCATCCTGCACCTGAAGTCTTCCGTCGTCTGGAAAGATCTTTGAGTTTTTTGTTCTCTCGTTCATTCCATCAATGGCTGAAATACAGTAATGAAGCAAGAGTGTCAGAGGACTACACCAATT